CTCGCTGGTGAATGAGTACTTTAATGAAGACAGGTTTTCTGTAGGTTTTCACATCCTGATCAGCTCTGTAGTCAGAAGGGGAAGGTAATAATAACCACAGAGAAGGTAGGCCCTCTGGTGTGAGAGTATAAGGTACTTTAGAAGGGATGTGTGATGAATCAATGGGTGAAACATTAAATCACTATTTTAGAGACAGGGCTATAAAGACAAGGAATAAAAGATGGGACCCTTAAAATGTTTTCCATATTCTGGCTTGTGGAATACCAAGACTACTGACCTGGGAATTCCTGCCTTTTTTTCTCACACTAGCAGTACACAGAATTTGAATATCCCAGAATTTATTAACACTTTATTAACAAAGCAAACTCATCCTAGATATTTTAGGTAATTTTTTTTTTTTTGGTGATCAGAGAGGAGAGGAGGACCACTGCAAGAGTACTGCAAACCTCTTGTTTTCACTGTAGAACTAGTCTGATGCAAATGCCCCACTGAGTGAGTTCATCTTTCTGTAGTATTCTGTGGGATATTACACTATCAGATGGAATGCATAGAATGATAGAAAAAGAGAGTTGCAGGTGTTGGCAAGAATGTGGACAACCATTATATGTTGCTGGTAGGAATGTAAAATGGTGCAGCTGTTTGGAAAACAGTTTGGCATTTCCTCAAAATGTTAAGCATTTGATCCAGCAATTCAATCCTAAGATATACCCAAGAGAAATAAAAACACCTGTCTACACAAAACATTTGTGCATGCATGTTTGTATTAACATTATATCTAATGGCAAAAAAGTGGAAACAAGCTAAATATCCCTCAAATGATGGATAAATGAAATACAGTATATCCAGACAGTGGAATGTAAGGAGCCTTAGTGACACTGTCAGGCTAAGAGTTGGACTCCTGGCTACAAGGTTAGCAGTTTAAACTCACCAGCTGTGCCTGGGGAGAAAGATGAGACTGCTCCTGGAAAGCCTTAGAGCCTTGGAAACCCTGTTTTGGGGCTTTGAGTTAAAACTGACTTGACAGCAGAAGAATACAATGGAATTTTTTTTTACAATGGAATATTTTTAATCTATTCAAAAAGAATGAATTTCTCATATATTCTACAACATGGATAAACCTCAAAAAACATTATGTACATGAAAAACGCTAGTCACCAAGGACCTCATAGTGTATTCTCCTATTTACATGAAATATCTAAAATTGACAAAACTATAGAGACAAATCAGATTAGGGGTTGTCTCAGGATATGGGGAGAAGAGGAGATGGTGGTGGGGAAAAATGAGGTGTGACTACTAAGGGGTGCAATGTTTCATTGAAGGTTGATGAAATAATGGCTGCATAAGGGGGTTCCCCAAAGGCATCTTAGAATCAAGGGAATATAGTACATTTAATAGCTATATAGGAAACCAGTATGTGATATGGAAGCACGTCTTAATCATGCACTTTAGCTGCTAACGAGAAGTTAGAAGTTCAGGTTCACACAGAGCTGTCTCAAAACAAAAGCCAGTCAGTCAACTTGGGAAAACTCAGCTGTTAAAAACTGTGTGGCGTGGAGACCTAAAGCCCATTAGTAGGCCACTGGAGATTCCCTTGCAGAGGGGTCTCGGGGAGGAGACGAGCCACTCAGGGTGTGATGTAGCAACGATGATAAATACAACTTTCCTCCAGTTCCTAAATGTTTCCTCCCCACCCCCACTATCATGATATGAATTCTACCTTGCAAGTCTGGCTAGACCAGAGGATGTACACCGGTACAGATAGGAACTGGAAATACTGGGAATCCAGGGCGGATGAGCCCTACAGGACCAGTGGTGTGAGTGGTGATACTGGGAGGGTAGAGGGAGAGTGGGTAGGAAAGAGGGAACCGATTACAAGGAAATAAGTATTGCCAGTGAGAATCTTGGAATGTTCTTTTAAAAGATGAACACAACATCACTCCTCTTCAATTTATTCCTAGTGCAGTAGCCCAAAGCTTCCTAACCTGTGAGTCACGACCCTATATGAATGTGGGAAGGTCATGAAAAATTTGGCAACAGTGAAAGCTTCCTGAATGCACATGGGCCAAATATTAATTCTGAATCAAATGCATAAAGAACTTGAGATGTCAGAAAAATAATAATTTATAAATTATCAAGGGTGCATGGGGGAGAGGGGAGGAGGAAAGGAGGGGGAGGGGAAAAAAGGAAAATGAGTTGATTCCGGGAACCCAAGAGGAAAGTGAATTTTGGGAATAATGAGGGTAACAAATGTATAGATGTGCTTTACACAATTGATGTATGTATGGATTGTGATAAGAGTTGTATGAGCCCCTAATAAAATGATTAAAAAACGAAACAAAAACTGTGTGGCGCACAGGTCTTCTCTGACACTTGAGTCTACCATGAAGCATAACTGACTTGGTGGCAACTGGTTTGTTCTTGTTTTTCATGTTTCAGTTCTGGTAACTAAACAGACTATGCAAAGATAGTTGTAGTATTTGTAATTTTTCATTTTTTATTTGAATTGGTAGACTTTATTTTGCTTTGGCTTTCACTTCTAACCTAATTTGAAATTGTTGGAGCCAGGAAATTCACAATCATTAATCTAGTAATAAAATGGACAAATAAGGCTGTTCTGTTTTTATAGCTCTTGCAGTGTTGGCTTAAAATATTAATATAAATATTATGTTTTAAAATAGTTACTGTTAAACAATAAAGTTAATTGCACATGTTAAATAGTAATAGGAAAAATTGACCTTAAGCCAGTTGTCCATTAATTCAATATTTATTGAGCATCTGCTGTATATCAGGTACTACATACTAAGTGTTAGGAATAGAAAGCAAAGGCCTTTCTATTAAAGTGATCCCCAGACTGACAAGCTGTGGACAATTATGTGATGATTATGCTGATGGAGGTCAGTACAGTCTTCAAGAGAACAGAGAGATGAGAGGCACCAAACTGACACCCAGTTGGGGCCTTCCTGGATTGGTGTCACCTGTGTTGAGTTCCTGAGTGGAAAGGTGAAGAAAGCATGAAAGGACAGCCCATACTAAGGCACAGTGAACTGATAAGCAAATGATAAGCGAAGAAGTGGGCTTCTTTTGATCACTCATCTTTGAAAAGAAGGCATCAGAAGGAGTATGCATGTGGATGAGAAGTGAGGGAGGGCCAGAGTGGCTATTACCAAAAAACCAATTCTCTACTATCTGGTTGATTCTGACTCATAACGATACCGTAGGACAGGGTAGAACTCCCCCTGTGAGTTTCCAAGATATTATTTTTTTTAATTTTATTTTATTAGGATCTCTTAGAGATATTATTATAATCCAAAGTTCCATTAGATCAGGCATAATTGTACCATTGTTGGCATCATCATTTTCAATACATTTTCTTTCTTCTTGAACTCCTTGATATCAGCTCCCCTTTATCCCCTTCCTGCCTCCCGCTTTGTACATATGTTACCATCATTTCCAAAACATTTTCTTTCTACTTGAGCCCTGGGTATCAGCTCCTCTTTTTGCCCTCTCTTGGGCATCCTCTCACTCTCGTGAATCCTTGATCAATTATATATTATTATTGTGGTTTTTTATATATATATTATTATTGTTATTTTGTATCTTACACTGTCCGTTGTCTCCCTTCACCCACAACCCTTAATATATATTATTATTGTTGTTGTTTTACCCAAGATATTCTTTATGGGAATAGGAAGCTCTGTCTTTTTCCCATACTAAATTATCCTTAGAGACGTCATCTCTTGAAAGAAGAAGGGAGAGTTGTTTAAGGAGTTGGGGGTGGGAGACTAGAGAGCTTGGCCCTCCTGGGAAGGAAGATTGTTTTTTCACAGACAGTAGGGGAAGCAACTAAGAAGAATGCTCGCATATATTGCTAGAAATAAGAGATTATGTGGGTGAACTGTGTTTTGTGAGTGGACGAGGGAGTAGAGAGAAGGTTAAAGAGTTCATGCTTTGTTGTTGTCTGTCAGGGAATTAGGAAACATGGTCTAAGGATTATGTTTAGCAGGAAGGAGGTTCAGCTATGTTTACTTGATTCTGGTTATTCAGTTTAATATCAGTTTAACTTTTCTAATGACAAAAATGGCTTGTAAAAAGGTTCTTTCAGATACAATAATAATTTATAAATTATCAAGGGTGCATGGGGGAGAGGGGAGGAGGAAAGGAGGGGGAGGGGAAAAAAGGAAAATGAGTTGATTCCGGGAACCCAAGAGGAAAGTGAATTTTGGGAATAATGAGGGTAACAAATGTATAGATGTGCTTTACACAATTGATCTATGTATTGTGATGAATTGTATGAGCCCCAATAAATTGATTAAAAAAAAAAAAAGAAAGTAAAAAAAATTTTTTTTAAGTTCTTTCTACTTAATTAACAAATTTTTAAATATCTACAAAGTGATTTTTGCTTTTACAGAATGGCAGCCATATGAAATCAAGACAGTTTATTCTAGAACATCCACAGTAGTTAATTCAACCTTATAGTGTATACATTAGTGAGATTTATGACCTAAAAGATGTCACTCATTAAATTGCAGGAGAATCAATGAGACTTTAAAAAATTTTTTTAAATCAAAAGGAGCCTTGTTAGCTTAGTGGGTTACTCATTGGACTGCTGTCTGAAAAGTCAGCAGTTGAAACCACCAGCTGTTTCAAGGGAGAAAGATGAGATTTTCCACTTCCTTAAAGATCTATTCTATAGGGTCTCAGAAACCCAAGGTTGCTATGAGTTGGAATCACTCAATGGCAGCAAGTTTGGTTTGGCTTTGGTTTTAAATTAAAAAGTTGCATAGATCATAGTAAACTAATACTAAATGTCACCAGAATGTCTAAAACCAAAACACAACTAAATGAAAAGAAAAAGAAACAAAAATACTTACAAAGAAACACAAAGTCTAAGTTAGATTCTTTCAGAGAGAATCTTAAAATCTAAGGGAAACTCTTATAATGATCTTTTAACAGTGCTATTGTACTGAAATTGGCATGCAGTGAAATGCACATATTAAAGCGTACCATTGATAAGTTTTGACGTGTGAACATTGGGAGAGCCATAACCATGGTCATACTGTTGAACATCTCTGTGTATCCCTGACCCACAAGTGTTCATTCACTTGGGCCCTTTTATACATGTCCCTCCTGCCTCTCTCAGCTTCCACCACCCAGGCAATGATTAATCTGCCTTCTGTCACTGCAGATCAGTTTGCATTTTCTAATATTGGGAACTTTCTTTTTGATAGAGAAAAATTATTTAGGAATTAGAAATCTTTAAGAAGATTTTAGGCTTTGATTCCATGCGTTTCTGGTTACATGGGGCATGTTTAGGAACTAAAAGATGAAAATGCTGGGCATCTAATAGCCGAAGAAGCCAGTAAGTAGCTTTAATGGGAAACCTGGCTGACTGAAGTGTGATTCACTAAATACGCTCCTTTCCTTCCTAAGTCCTAGAATATGGGGAAATTGAAGTGCTGCATGGAAAACTTGTGAATTTGTCCTCAATGCAATTTTACGTAGTTAATAGATGGTTAGCACAAAGAACTAAAAATAATTTGAAGTCTTTGGGTGAGATTGATTATGCAGTTTGTGTACATAGATTATTTAAACTGGAAACAGTGTTTTAAAATGTCAAATCACAATTTGTAAATGTGTAATAGAAAGATCTGAAATAAACTTTTTAAAGCTCTCTAGGCTGGGAATTTATAACAAAACCATTATTCACTGAAAATTCGTGTATGTATGTATCTGTGCTCTTTGCCAAAATAAGAAAACTATTAAATCTTAAAAAATACAATTCAAGTTGCCACTTAACTATAAACTAATACCTTACAGAATCAAAAGCTGCTAAAATAACGCAAGTCGTAAACATTTACAAATATAGATCATTTCTTTTTTCAGGTCTTGTAGCTTTAGTAAAGTCTTCACTGGTTAGAATCTGTCAAATTATAATGCATTAGTATATGTAAGTAGAAGAATAGAATTAATACATCAGGAATATTAGAAAAGAAAGAATGAATTATACTTTCTTCTCCAAGAGTGTGCCTGAGTTTGATTTCATTGGAAGATTGTCATTTAGTTCATGGATTTTGAGAAATAATTGGAAAGCAAAATACATAAACGTTGTATGAAAATGGAATCAAAAGATAGTGGAATTTTTCCACAAATTTTTGAAGGCCCCTTGTGTGACCCTAAAATATATATGACTTTCCAATGTTGTTTTTTAAAATAGTGGGATATTAAAGAGTTAAGTTGTAAGTTTGAAAAATCACTTTTTTCTATAATTATTTAAGTATTCTTCCATTTAGATGATTTGGTTTGCTTCTTTATTATCATTCTAGCTACCATCAAAGTATTTCATTGACCTACCTTTTCTTTATTGCTCTCTACATACTATATGGGATGCTTTAAACAGATATGCCTTACTATTCATTGTCATTCAAAACAGTGCTCATGTACAGAAAATCATTAAACCCTACTCTTTTGGGTTAACTACTCACTCAATGTTACTTTTTAAGGTTTAATGAAGAGGCTAGAGGAGGAGATAAAGTTTAATTCATACATGGTAACTGAAAAATTTCCCAAAGAACTAGAGAACAAGAAAAAAGAATTGCATTTTTTACAAAAAGTGGTTTCAGAGCCTGCTATGGGCCATTCTGATCTTCTTGAACTTGAGTCTAAGGTAAGTGACAGTCATCTGCTTTTTATAGCTCTCAGTTTTACCTAATCCCCAGTCCTGCGGAAATGAAGTAAGTTGCCTAGTATCGTGCTTGGTGCTGAGTAATTTGTGCCAGAGTGACAACTGTCTTGATGAAGAGTATAACAAATGCTGTTACCTAACCCATAGGACAGTGGTTCTCAACCTTCCTAATACCGTGACCCTTTCATAGTTTCTCATGTTGTGGTGACCCCCCCAACCATAAAATTGTTTTTTGTTGCTACTTAATAACTGTAATTTTGCTACTGTTATGAATCAGGCGACCCCTGTAAAAGGGTTGTTGGACCCCGCAAAGGGGTCATGACCCACAGGTTGAAAACTGCTGCCCTAGGAAGTTATAATCGCTAGTCAACTGGTTAGAAAACCAAGTAACTTAGAAATGTAAATGAATGTAGATGAATTAACTATTTAGGTTAAGATTTGTTCTCCTGTCATCTAGATGGCAAGGTTTAAATATTATAACTATCATTAATTTTTATTTCTAAGGATAATGATATAGGAATTTCTAATTTATAGTTAATATTTTGCCTCAGATACCAGGGTTCTATTTTGCCTCAGATACTTTAGGGTTATTAAGCTTTGTTGGGGTGTTCACTAATACCTGATATCCTATTGCAATATTTTTGTTTCCTAGAAATAAGGCAATAATCAAACATGCATTTTTAAATAAGTATAAAAATTGATTGAAAGATATTAAATACATTATTCTGACCATTTTGCTATTTTTACTTAGAGACATTCGGAGCCCTGGTAATGCAGTGGTTAAGTGTTTGACTTCTAACCAAAATGTTGGAGGTTTGAACCCACCAACCTCGTCATAGGAGAAAGAAATGCTCGTGTGCTTCCATAAAGAGTCTAGGAGCACTTTTGCTCTGCCTTGTAGGGTCTCATTCTGTAGAGACCCTATAGAATCAACTTGCTGGCAGTGGTTTTTGCTTTGTTTTGTTTTAAAGAAATTGAATTATCCAAGTCAGATTTGGCTCAGATTTGAATGAGAAGCCTTAAACCCCCTGCCATAGAGTTGATTCCAACACATTGTCTTTTCAAATGATAGATATACTGCAAGCCATATACTTTTTTGTCTGTGTCTAGGACAATGTGTGTCTTTTGACTTTAGTCAGCTTTGTTTTATTACGTTTTGTAAAGGTTTAGCTGTGTGACTAAATGACTGTGTATAATCCCAGATCATTAGGACAAAAACAGTTTTTCCATGTAATCCCTGCCCACTCTCAGCTGAGTTTGTGAGATCTAGCTACTAAACTCCCGGGAACGTGTCCAGACCCATCTTTATGACATTCAGTGGCTTGAGAGCCATAGTCTTGCTAAAGATGTAGCTGTCAATTTCTAGAAAATACTCTCTTGATAATACCCACAAGTTGAGTCCAACTTTTAGTAGCTCTTAGAGTTTCTAAGACTGTCCCTCTTTGTGGGAGCAACAGCTTCAACTATCTCCCACAAAGTGGACTGGTAGGTTTTGAACTGCCTGTTAGCAACCAAGACCTAACCCTACAACACTCCTTTAAAAAAATTATAATGGATGATTATTTTTTGTGAAATCAGTTAAGTGCCTTGAAATGTAAATTGTTGCTAAAAGTAATCATAACAACAGACTGGATATTAATGGAACTGCTCTTTGCCTCAAAGATTGAAAACTTAGCATTTCTCGTTTGGCCCGGCCAGATGTCATTGGGTTTGTGTAAGCATAGGGAGCCTTTTAACATTTTTCACTCTTATATTTCTTATATCCTTTTAGATGAATGAAATAAACACAGAAATTAGCCAGCTGATTGAAAAGAAAATGATGAGGAATGAGCCAATTGAAGGCAAACTCTCACTGTATCGGCAGCAGGTAAGACCACTCCTTCAGTCCAGTCATTTAGACCTGTAACCTTACTGGTGACCATCTCCATAAAAGCCATACCTTGTTAAACAAGCGGCCATCTGGCTCAGAAACAACAAAGTCCAAATGGAAGAAGCACACCAACCTGTGTGATCACGAGGTGTTGAAGGGATCAGCTATCAGGCATCAAAGAACAAAAAAATCATACCATTGTGTGCTCACTTCCCCGATACAATCGCTGAAGACAAATAGGTGCATAAGCAAATGTGGTGAAGAAAGCTGATGGTGTATGTCTATCAAAAGAT